TCTGTGTCCAGGACCACCCCTCGTGGGCCCTCTCCCCCTGCCCCAGGGGTGGACCCGCGGGTCACTGGTCAAGAACTGAAATGGCTCCCAAGTCCGCCCGGTGAGGTGAGACATTCCCCGACAGCTCTGACGTTGCTAAACCCCCCCGGGCGCGTGAGGACGACGCGGGCCTGCAAGAGGGGGGCGGGACGCCGAGGGGACACCTTGAGCTCTGACCGCCTGCTCAGTGACCAGCTGGGTCCCTCCGTTGCCGCCCCGAGGACAGGCTCGGCTTCAGCGTGCAGGTCTCTGTGCATCGATGACAAGTGCCGAGGAAGCCCCACAGTGAGGCCCGGCAGGGAAAGCGGGGGACACGGCAGAACTGAAAGGTGGAAGCTCTCAGAATGCAGAGGTCCCTGTGGCCGGTGAACCCCGAGAAGTGACCTGACCCAGCGTTCCTTGCACGCTCACTGCATGACCCCTGAACACTGGGAAAGCCACCAAATGTCCCTGCTTTGGGTGGCACCTACACACGGGCAGCCTGAGGGCAGAGGGCAGCCGAGGCTTCAGGGAGAGCTGCCCCGAGACGCTGCCGAGGCTCCCACACAGCATGGCTGGACCCTGCTCCCAGGACAGGTGAGGACACCAAGCCAGGGATGTCCAGGAAGGGACCCCAGGTGGTCCCTACCGACCAGCGGCCCTCACCTCTGGGGGGTTTCAGGTCACCCTCAATCGCTCTCAGATACCCAGCTGGTCACTCGTCCACACTGCCCGCCCCCAGTCAGCCGGACGGTCGCTCGTCCACACTGGCCACGCTGTCCGCCACATCTAACGCACTCCCTGCACCTACTGCACACGTGTGCGGCCCCCACAGCCTGGTGCAGGCGTACGGGAGAACGCCAGGCTGGGTCCCTGACGTCGCCAGGCTGTGTGGCGTTCTCCCGGCTCTGCCCGTGTTTGGGTACCATCTTCCGGACGGCTCCCTCGGGCAGCTGGCTCCACCTCACATGCTCTCCCAAAACCACCCCAGCAGGCCGCTGTCCCCGGTTCCTCGCTCACCTGTGCCTGTCACACGGGTGTGGCCGGAGTACTGGGCGCCAACCCCGTCACACATAGTGGCTGACTTGTCTCTAAAACCACCTGTGACCTGGGCCCTAAGGAATCGGCAAATGATGACTAACCCCCCCACCCCCGGAAGGCAAGGAGCAACGAGACAGGAGCAGGTGGAAGACACACGGCGCAGCACACAGATGGTCCCTTCGCGCGTACACGGCCCGTGGGCCCCCGGTCAAGGATGGGAGGGACGGCCGCAAGCTGAGACAAAGGGTCGGAGAAGGTGCACCTCACGGGCACGACGGGAAACGAGGAGCGGGAACGGGTCTAATGACGTCCAATAAAGTGAAACCTCAGAGCGAGGGGATCAAGAGGTGCAGGTGCAGGCACCCACCAGCAGAGCGCCCCAATACCCCGCCAAACGCCAGTGGGGCTGGGGGCCGGAGTGGGGCCCCTCGACGCGGCAAGTGCGCTGGGACAGCCGGCGACGCGGGAGCGAGCCCCGCGCAGAGCACAGGCCTGGAGCGCCACACGCCGTCTCCGGCCTCCCGACCCGCGGGCGCCCACCCGCGTCACAAAGCCCACCCTGACGCACCTGGAAGAAGACAGGATCACACGGCCTGCTCTGCCCACGGTGCGACCACACTAGGAACCAGTAACAGGAGGACAACAGGAAAATCTCCCAACACCTGGAAGGAAAACAACCGCCTTCTACACAGTCCACAGATCAAAGAAGAAATCTCAAAAAAAAAATTAAAAATACAAAGAACTGGGATTCAGCTGACAGGGAAATTGATAGCATGGAACGCTCACCTCAGGAAAGATCATAAATCGGTCATCTTAAAGTTCTGAGAAACTAGGAAAAGAGCAAAATAAACCCAACTCAATCTCAAGGACTGGTGAGCTCGGGTTTGCCCACCTGAGCCAGCCCTGGTCCTGGGGTTTCTGCGGGGCTTTTCCCCCCGGGACTCGACCTATTAACCACAAGTACCTCTCGACCGTTAGTTCGCGACAACGGCTGGTGTGCTGGGCGACCCTCCTGTGTCCTTACCAGCCAACGGGGGTCAGCACACCACCCCCCACCCCGAACCCCAAGTTCATGGCAGGGGAGTCAGCAAATCTTCTCAGTTTGGCTTTGCCAATTAGGCTCAAGCTCATTCGGAAACTCGTCCCAAGATGAAGGGTCTCCTGGTGTGGTTTTCGGAGGCAGCCTCGTTCCTGGTTCGAACGGCTACGTGCTGGGACGTGCCGGGATGCGGCCTTTGCCTCGAGGCTGCCTGGGGCCCCTGGGAGCCAGACGCAGCAGGGAGCCGAGCTGGCCGCCTGCCTCGAGGCCTGGGGCGGGCGCTCCCCTGGGGGCAGGCCCGGCGCCAGCTCTAACATCCCCCATTTCCTGCAAGGATTCACTCCCGGTCACTCAAACAAAAGGGCTTATTCTAGGGCTGTGTGTGGACCAGGGACTGCTGCCCTGACACGTGGGCCCCTGCCTGGTCCCCTCTCCCATCCCTTCCCACACTCAGACATGGCCACTGAGCCTTCCTGTGTCGGATGCTCTGCAGGCCACGGGGAGGCCGGGACAGGCACGGCCCGCTCTCCCTCCCAAACTGTGATCACAGTCGTCGGGGCCTCACCGCTGGACCGGTTCAGAAGGGCCTGCTGGTATGGGCCCAGCGTGTGTCCTTCGCACGCGTCCTCTGTGCTGCGGCCAGGCGAGGAGGTGCTATGCGGGAGGACCGGCCGCCCCCACAAGCACCCGCCTTGGCTTCTCAGTTCTGGAGGCCCTCGCGCACCACGCACCTACCGACGGAGCACGCGGGCACACGACCGTTCGTAAACAAGTCGTGACTTTCAGGGAGGCGAGGGGCCACCGTGGCTCAAAGGAAAACCCGGGCGAGTGTGAACCCAGGCCCTGGGGGCCGCTACCACGCCGGGGACACCCACCAATGGCTGCAGCTGCATCTCGCAGACACGCAATCGCCAGCAGTGCAGCCGACCCACCTCGCCGGGCGGCTCTCTTGCCCGCTTCAGCTCAGAGGAGGACCACCCGACCACCCAGCCTCCCGGGACGGGAGCGCAGGGCCCACACGTCTGGTGGGCACCCATGCTAGTGGCGCTCCACGGTGTTTCTGGTTCCACACACACAGAGAGCCCCCGTGGGGAGGTGCTGGTGAAAAGTCACCCATTGTTCTTATTTCCGGCCTCACCGCCGGCCCGCCTCCGCACGGCAGGCCAGGAACAGTGTGTCCCAGGGAATCCCAGACACGCCCGTCTAAGACGACCGTCAGTCCCCTGGGCTCAGATGGGGCTCACTGCTCATCACACCCGGCAATGAGGCCACCTGCCGGTGGTGTTTCTTCAACCATGGCTTTTAGTCCATGACTCAGAAAAACAGGATTTTAATGTTAGCGAAACATGTAGGTATACCAAGGAGTGGAACGCAATGATTTCAACTTCTTGGGGGAAGGGAGGCTTAAACGCCAGGGTTCAGCTCTTGCACCCTCCCACGGCTATCAAAAAGCAGGCCCAGATGAGCAGCACACGGTGGCGAGGAGGCAGCACCCGTGCATCTGTGAGCAAGTGGGGCCGAGGGTCAGCAGAGCTGCCACACCAAGCCTTCATCAGCCAATCCTGATGTGTGATTGTCACATCAAGCCAGTGAGTTTTGGATGGTTACATGGAAACAGCAGAGCATGACCCTAGTTCTTCCAAATTTTCTAGGCCAGTGCTGTGCTAAAAAGCATACTCAAATATTTCATCAATTTAACAAACATTTATTGAGCATCTACCATGTTGCAGAGTGTCCTAAGTACGGGGGATACAAAGTGACTGGGATGGGCTCACTTCCGGCCTTCGTAGAGCACACTGAATTACAACTGTGAGGAGTTCCATGAAAGAAGTTCCTGGCCACGCAGAATGATGGCTGAATGAAAGCCTATGGGGTCAGCAAAGAAACAGAACTACAGACAGGAAGGAAGGGAGCACCTAGACAACATGCATGCATCTGTGGGGACTCTGCAAGGAACAAGTGTGGCATCACGCACCATGGAGAATTAACAAACCAGAGACCCTCCGTATGGCAAGAGTAGAGTTAGGCCATGACCCAGACCACACATGCACATCCAGGCCAACAATTCCAGATGGACTGCACACACACACACGCACGCACACACACACACACACACACACACACACAGATTATCTTCATGCCTACAGAGCAGGGAAATACTTCAGAAACAAGACCAAGACGCTAGAACCACAAAGGAGAAGAAGGATAAATTTTACTACATGTTAATCAAAAACTGTAAGATAAAAACATACTCTAAAAACGTTAAGACAACCGGTAGGGATTGAGGGGAAGTATTTGTAACATACGTAACAGACAGAGTTAGTAGCCCAAACAGATCAGGAACACCACATCAGTATGAAAAAGATAATCCCGTAGAAAAAAAGGGGAAAGGAAACGAACAGGCAGTTCACAGACGAGGAAAATTAGTCAATTGTCATTGAAGCAGACCATTCGTGCCCCAAATCAATAATCTACTAAGCTGTTCATCCACCTGCAGCCTTGAGCAGCGCTGGCATCACCAGTATTTAAGGGTGAGTCAATTACTTCGTTTCTGTGGCTCACGTCTGATCTGAAAACCACAAGGACCCATCATCAAGTGACTCTACGGGAACATCGCACAAGAGACAGGCCATTTAACACAAGCAACGGAAGATCCCGACATTGGGATATTTAGCTCCGTGGTAAATCCTGGATTTAGTGCACTGCTCCCCCGAACGTCTTAGACCACTATGCCGACTGGGGGCCCCTTACGCTGCAGGCGCTCGGGGCCTCGACAATCCAAACACCAGTTGGAGGCAACCACATTCCATTCTCATGTACGCTGATGGGAAGAGACAAGAATTATTTTTTAAAAAGATGTATTCTTGAAGGAATTTTTAATTAAAAAAAAATCAAAGAAAAATTGCAACAGTGCCTAAATCTTTATTTTTCATAACCTACATTTTTTTTCAAATTAGACAGTTTTACACTGAATGACACAAAAGGAAACTTAAATTATCAATAGTTTACACGTAAGCTTGATTCCAGTCTTAATGAAAAGAAGTAGAACAAAAACAAAGGCCCTCAAGAAAGCTTCCGTAGCACGTCCCGCTCGGCAGACTGGCGGCTGCTGGCTCTGCTTCTGACTTGGATTGTCTGGGGCGCCTGGGGGTGACAGGCCACGAAGCGCACGAGCCCCCAAATGCAGCTCGCTGGTGGCGGGCACAGACACGCACCTTCCTCACCCGCTGCCCCTGTAACAAACTGAACTGGCTTTGAAATGTAAACTGCGTGATCCTGGCTAACAGAGCCGCCGGAAGCGCCTTCTGCCACCCACCAGTGACAATCAGTGATGCGAGGACAGGCGGGCCGGGCCAGGAACATCAGGACACCAACTCCTAAAAAGCAACTACTCTACTGGAAATTCATGTCTGGTGAAACGGGGCCAGATTCTCATCTCGCTATTTCCAAATTATAAGTATCCTCACATAATTTTACAAGTTAAAATGTCATTTGTGATTGCTGTATCTCTGATTCTACATCCTGAACTACTGCTGGGGGAAGGAAAGACTTCGGTTTCTAAAACTGGACAAAAGCCCCCAACCAGCTGTGGCTGCTCGTGCCAGAGCCGTCTCTGTGCCACGTCCCAGGCTCCCTTCTCTTCTGTGAGGGGAAAATCTCACAGTGATCTCAGAAAGCTGGGGTTTGGGACGTTATATAGCTGTTTGGTGTATCACTGTTGCTTAATTAAAAAGGATGCTATAAAAATCCCACCAGAGCGAGGTTGCAACTCTGGGTGCAACCGACGTGGGCTGCAAGGACAGGGGCCGCAGTGCGGCGAGCGGGCACGGAGGGTACAGGACCGCCAGGCCACGCCCCTCCCACGCACCAGCTGCCCCCGTGCCTGGCTGTGCCCCGTTGCTGTCACGAGTGACCCCCTTCGTCCTGCCGGCCGTGGACGGCTACGGCTGGCTCTAGCACACAGCCTGCCGCCAGGGCAAGGATCTGTCATTGCTGAAAACCAGTGTGTCAGCTCCACACAGGGTTTGCGGCCCCTGGGTGGGGCGGGGGGGCGGGTGACCAAGGCTGACCACATCCGCTCCCTCCTCCAGCAAAGATCGCCACAGTGAGCACTTCCTGGGGCTTGCCTTTCCAGCTTTTCTTACAGTACTCATGAGATGGGGCGTCAGAGGTCAACTAATTCCTGATTTTTTAAGTCAGCAATCCCTCACCTACAAAAAAAGAAATCCTCCTGTTCCTTTTACACTAGCACTGTGTACTCCTAGATAGTGAGTCCTGGCGGCTTCTCTGAAGGAGACGGTCAAGCGCACCAGGGCTGGCTCTCCTCTGGCAGTTAGGATTCTAAGTAGATTATCTTTTGCTTTCTCCTGAAGCTCCTGCCAGTTTCTGCTTCCTACATTATGATTTCACATTAGCTATGATTAGTACATATTTACAGACTTGTGAGAAGAGCATGAAAACGTCGGAAGGCTCTGCTAGGACTTTCCATTTCCCTTCTGCAGCAGCAAAGAGGCAGAATCAGCCCAACACACCAGCATCAGAGAAAAAGAAAAACACCTCAACAAATTAAAATAATATTCAAACCACAACATTTAGTTTATCTACATCCAGCTCAATAGCAACATTTATAATATATCAATAATTTTTATCAGATTTTTCTCTTTAGGGTACCTTTTTAATATGTTCTGATTATTTACAACTGTACAAGCAAAGCACACACTCCCAAGTGCACATATTTAATACAGTATCGACTATTTGCATTTACAGGGTTTCTCAACAATCTGAAGAAGGTCAACTGTTGGAGATCTTCGGGGTGTACTGCAGACCTGTGCTACAGAATGCTCGCTCGGGGACACCCGTGGCGGCAGCCCCACCAGACTGAGCAGCTCTGTACCCCTCGTGCCAACCCGGGGGCCAGTCTCCACCAACTCTAAGCTGTCTTATACAAAAGTTAAGGCAAAGTCATTTTCAAGTTTAAATAAAATTCAAGTCTTTAAATATTGGATGGAAATAATGTTTTAAAAAGAACCCTCAGTCTTGTTAAATAACCTTCTGTGGAATAAACTGTATGGTTACATTTAGCAGGAAATGTTTTAATGTCTGCTTAGAATACTTCAAGAAAAAATTTAGGCATTTTAAAACAAAATAATTTATATTTAACTTTATTATGAACCGCTAGCGTTAGTGCATGCGCGTTCTTCAGAGTGCAGCACTTCCGGAAGGGGATCAGTGAGACCCTCGTCCGGGAGGGACTGTCAGCCTCACCACCGAGCCCCCCCGAGACTCCACTCCCTCACAACTTAAGCAACGCTTCCACTGCGGGCCGACGCGGAGCCACGGGAAGGTGCCCACGCAGCGGCTAATGCGGGGGAGCCGCGGGGGCCACGGGGGTGCCCACGCCCTCCCGCCAGCTCTCGGGAGCAAGACAACATCAGGGTACATTTTTGCGGGGACACGTGAGTGGGCAACCAGGTTTATGTTTTCATTTAAGTTCTATTCACAATGTGCTTTGACTCTGTCTTACACAACAACCACTTGAGACAGGAGTGAGAGGCTGGTTACTTGCTTGCAGCACATCAAAACTCAAGGTTTCAGGGCTCTCTGGGGTGCATCTCGCCCAGTAGGTCAATAACGGGCTGTGTTTTTTTAAAAAAACAAAAACAAAAACAAAACCACTAGCGTCACTTGCTAAGATTCTGAATGAAGTACAACTCCCAAGCCAGCGAGGGCATGACCTGACCCCTTTTTCTTCTCCGGGCCACACTGACCGTGTCGCCTCCAACCTCGATCCCAGCGGTCTTCAGCCCACCCATCGGTCTGGACATCTCAAAGGAATGCACTTGCTAACCAGTTATTTTAAAAAATGAAGTAGCATAGTTCCGCTTAATTTAGAAAAACTCACTATATATAGCTTGCATTCATAGCCACATGGAGGCTTAATAAAAATATCAATTTGTTAGGATAAATGCATTTTCTATCCTGAAAAAAATCAGACTTATGCATCACCTCCAGTTAAGCACCAACCTAAAATAAGGTTTATATTAATTAAATCCTGAAAAATAGATTTTTTTCAAGAGGGGGAAAATCCGACTCATGGAAGAAAAACCACTTGCAGGCACCTCACCGGCCTTGTCTACGCTGCAAGCCCCTAACCAGCGGCTCATCCTTGGCCCCGAGTGGGACAGTGCTTAGTTGTGGCGACCCCAGCTCCTCACAGCCCTCCCAGACCTCGGCGCTCACTGAGGGGACTTGGGGGGGGTGCTCTGTTCTCTGTGTGGACGCTTCCCGGCAGCGGGGGGCGAGGGCCGGCGGCCCGGTGGCCTCCTCTGGTCTTTGGGTGGCCCCGGGTTGGACTTGGGGGCAGGGGGCTCTCTCTCGGCGAGCTTCTTTTCTTCCTTCCCACAACTGATGGCGTTGGGCTTTTGTTCTTTTGGGGGCTGCGACGGGGAAGACGGAGGCTCTCTACTCGTCCTCTGACAAATCTCCGCATAGCTGGGTTTTCGCAATTCCTGGGGAAGGGACACAATGCTGCGGTTACGTGCACAAAAGGCCACCTCCAAACCTGTGCAGCTCACTTCGGGAACGTGAGCGATGTTTTCAGCGGATGCTCAATTCCACACCCAAAAGTGCTGTCACTTGTAAAAGCTCACAGATTTCAACCAGTTGTGCTTCCCCTGCAGCACAAAGCTCCCTCCAAGACACTCTAGGAACGTCTTATAAAAACGGATAAAACCAGAAAAGGTCCTGGCATATGCAGTGCCGGCCTCTGCACTCTCGAGTCACAAGGAAGCCCTGAAAAAAGGTGTGAGAAAAGCTGCCCCTGGAAAGAGCCGGGAGCAGCATCTGCCTCCTCCGCCCACACGGCCTTGCAAACACCCTCACATCGCACGGCATGGGCTTCCCGGAACACCTGAACCATGCAGCCCATCACTTACCAAGGAGCTTCAAATAATGTCTGTGCCCATTTCAAACCACCACAGGCTGGTGGTGTAGATCCAGGGAAGGTGAAGACAGAGTTAAAAACTTTTTTTAAAAAGTTAATTTTTCAGGTAAGTGGAAGCTGGAAGGCTAAATATCAGAAGAGAAACTTAAAACTATTTCACCTCCATAAGCCATTACTAACTTAAAAGTAACTGTAATCTATAAAAATGTTTCCTTTAAAGATGCAACCTTATAGACAGGGTTTAACTCCCAAATCTAAACGACAAAAATTCACTGAATCAGAATAAACCAGGCTGGCTGCACCAAGGGGGAAGGAGGCAGGCAGAGGAGGCGGAGGGAGGCCTGCAGCCAGGACGGAGCCGCCCAGGGGTGGGAGCAGGTGGGCAGGGGTGGCGTGGCTTCTTCCCGGTGTCCACTGGGACAAGTGATCGGAATCCATGGAGAACACTGGGCTGCAGTCTTGAGACTTCAAAAGACAACCTGGCTCAACCAACAGTGAAGTAAGAAGCCCCCAGGGTGGCGGCAATGAGAAATAACCAGGACACTCAGTGGAAAGTCAGCAGCCAATACTCAAGGAATTAGGTGGGGAAAGCACAGCACCTACACACGTAAAAAACCCAGCAAACCAGACTTCCACTGAAAATAAGCTGACACAGAAAAGGAACACCACGCCCCTCCTCCCCGGGGTGGGAAGGGCGGCCAGGACACGTACCGTGGCAGCGCCGTTCACCTGCACTGATTTACTTGCCGTTGTCGTCAGGGCAGAAGGAAGTCTGTCCACACTCGAGGCTTCTCTCTGCTTCTCCACCACCTTGGGATCCCTGTAAAAATGCCACCCAAGGGCTGAATCTCCCACTCACGACAGGCAAGGGCAGTCCGACAACACGGAGGCGCGGCAGAAGGCCGTACTTACTCGGGCAGACAGGCCGGGGAGGGAGCGCGCCCATAGGCTGCGGACACAGCACTGGAAGCCGGCACCAAGGGCTCTCTGGGGCTCACCGCGGGGAGCGTGTTCGTGCTTGCATCCGTATTTAGGCTCTGAAAACCAGGGGAAGGACAGTTCAATGCGGGGAGAGACACAGCCCTCAGATTTCTGTCCTAATGACCTTAGACACACCAAAAAAGGTCCCAGTCTGAACGACAAGGAGGCTTCCTGCCTTCCTCCTGGGGGCCCCAGGGTCACTCTGCTGGGGCTGGAAGCATGGCCTCTACCAAGGGGAGCAACCAGCAGTGAGAGGAAACAGAGCCCTGCCTGTCCTCCAGAGTGCTCCCCCAGTGCCCGCAAACACCTCACCCCTTGTGTGACTCGGGCCCCCCTCTGGGCCTCCACTTTCGTTGTCCACAAGCCTGTTTTCTCCACAGAATAAATACCAAAGGCATCTTATTCCTGACACCCCAATGCCTAGCACAGCCTGGCACATAATGAACCCTCAAATTTATGTTAAATGTGGAGTTCCCAATCTAATTCCGTGTGGCTCCTTCTTGTAACTAAAATCAAAAAGATCGACACTTCCCTACAGACATAAATGTGGGTGCCTCAAGGTGGGTGGCCGGTGTTGGCAGTTCCCAGCCCTAGAAGCAGGTGTAATTATTCCCAGTTTAACAGCCGAGAAAATGAAAGCTTGGAACACGGACATTAAATCTGTCCGCGGTCATGGGACAAAGACGTGAGTACCACCAGCTGCTCTTACTCCAGACAGCGCCCCCCACACGGCGGCAGCTCACCAGGGCAGTGTCCCTCATGCCGGGTGACGGATACATCACTGAAGTCAGCACGGGCACTGAGAACGCATTCTTACAATTCTACTTTCAGAGCAGGTCAAAGGTTCAGCTGTAGACTGAACCGAGAACATCTCGAGGGAGCAAGGTGGGTGGGATGGCACCGTCTATGCCCTGTGCCCCCAGTGCTGTGGCCCTGCCACAGAACCAGACTCTTCACAAGTGCATGCTCAGCGGAAGGAAGCCGGGCTGGTGGGAAGGTGCGAGTGGGAAATGCCTCCTTTCTGTAAAGGTTCACTTGCTCCAGGGTATGGTCTTGTCTTGCTGTGCCGGAGTGCAGACGGCAGCCAGCGTGACCCAGCTCCCTTCTGGGGACGAGCTGCCAAGCACCCCCCCCCCCCAAGCAGCTCCCACATTCAAGCGCCAAGGCAACAGAAAACGCTGTTGCAGGGGCCCCACCAAGAAGCTGTGACTCCCCGGGCTGTGGAATCCAGCTCAGACTTCTTCAAAGTAGGCATTCATGGAGACTCGAAATGTAAAAAATAGTAGTTGCTGCTTTTAGAGCGGGGTGGAGGCTAGCCTGTTTGCCCCCTGTGTGCCTGACACCAAGGGTTACGAGCAAGGCCAGGGGGTCACTGGAAGTCAAGGCCCCTTACCCGCACCAACTCTAACATCACTGGAGAGAGGCAGCTATAGCCCAGAGACTAGTGTCCGAAAGTTTAAGACTTAAAATAATGCACAAGACATGCCAGATGTACGTAGCATGTGACTGTTACCGTAACGTACAGTCCTGCAGTCCGCCCCACTGCAAAGGTTAACAACAGGAGCAGGAAGCATGCAGCAGGAGGACGAGGGCTGGACATGGGGCTTTGTAAATCCCTCCCTGAGCCCTCTACTACGTTAGGATGTCTCCGGGCTCCTTGTTGTGGCATGGATCACTAAAAATTCTCATCACTTCTGCTGTAACTCAGATTTCTGTTTTATTTTGCAGACTTGTAAAATAAAGGTAGGTCCTGAATAACAACAATAAAAGTGCAATCTGAGCCTCGGGGTGACAGAGAGCATCTGTATGGCACATGATGCCAGTTTCCACCCCTGACCTTGGCAGACAGTAAGGGAATTAACAGAGAAGGTCTAGTCCCAGGTTCAAGTCTGACCCCACCACTCCAAATCCACGTGGCCTCCGGATCACTCACCCTCTCTGAAGCTCTTCCACATATGAAGACTGCCTGTATGAAGAGCGTGGCAGAGAGCCTGGCGCAAACTTGGCACTAGGCAAACATTCACGGTATGTGTCTTACCCTTTCTTTTGAGGACCCTATTAACAAGCTGGACAGCCTGTTTTCAAAGAGGTCCTCTGTCTTCAGGTGGCCTGCTGCCCCAGGCAACGGAGGGAAGTTGGACAGTCCTAATTCGAAGCTCGGGGATGGGGGCTTTGGTGGCGTTGGAGACTGAGTTTGACTCCTCTGAAAGAGAACAACACTGTCATGCTGCAGAAGCACACACCGTCCGACACTAAGACACAGAGCCGAAGAGTAAGGCAAACAATCCGTTCCAGCTTCTGATCTCCGTCTCCGTCTGAAAACAGAGAGGTCTCCCAATGACTGCAACACGTCGTCATTTAAACAAAGGTCATTTATCAGGCAACTGTAACCATCAGGAGCACAGTTATAAAGCCGAACCCCTGAGGCTGCCACCAGCTGTATGGAGCTACCTGTCTGCCATGCCAAGACTGTCCGGTTCCCAGTCCACAGTCGGCCAACACAAACCAGGGGTACACAGGCATGTGGCCAAGCATAGCACAGAGGCATCGGATGGACGAGTGAGGGAGGCAAACTCAACCCCACCGGTCGAACATCAGGACAGCCTGAGTACAGCCGCTGACCGTACTCCTCTCCAGACAGGAACTGTGTTATCACCAGAGAGCCTGCCATCCAACTTACAAAGGAGGTAGTGAAAGAAATAAACAAAAAAATGCCACTCTGAACTCCCTGAAACTTATGTAAGAAATTTTACAAAGATTTCCATTAAAAAATAGTTTAAGAAGGGGGAAGGGACTTCAGTTATCTGAAACCTCACTTTATATTTTAAAATCACTGTGTAAAAACATGGTTATTTCACGACAGATTTTTATCAGGTTCCTTGAGTTTGTTTTCTTCATAATAATATTCTTCATAATAACATCCAAGAGTAATTTATAAACCCAAGATCCCAGAAGAAAGGCAATGATGGGGGCAGAAAGTTTATTTGAGGAAGTGACAACTGAAAACTTCCCTAATCTGGGATCCAGGAGGCAAAAAGAACTCCCATCAAAATCAACAAAAGCAGCACAACACCAAGACATACTGTAATGAAATTTGCAAAATACAATAATAAAGAAAAAGTCTTAAAAGCACTTAAGACAAAAGAAGTCATTAACTTACAAAGGAAGAGCTGTAAGATTTTAGCTGGAGATTTCTCAACAGAAACCTGGCAAAAGGCAGAAGAGAGTGGAATGACATATTCAACGTGCTGAATGGGAAAAATCTGCATCTAAGAACAGTATATCCAGTAAGGCTATCTATCATTCAGGAAAGGAGAGACAAAGGGTTTCCCAGACCTACAAAACCTAAAGAAGTTCACGACCACTAAACCAACCTGGCAAGAAATATTAAGGGGACTCTTTGAGGGGCAAAGAGAGAACAAAAATGACAAAGACAGGAAGGATCAGAGAAAATCTCCAGAAACAAAACAAGTAATAAAATGGCACTAAATATATATCTATCAACAATCACTCTGAATGTAAATGGATTAAATGCTCCAATCAAAAGACAAAGGGCATAAAAACAGATTTTAAAATAAAGCAAGATCCATAACATGTGCTGCCTACGAACTATTTTAGACGCAAAGACCCTCCAGATTGAAAGTGAGGGGGTGGAGAACCACTTATCAAGCAAATGGATATCAAAGAAAGCCAGAGTAGCAATCCTTGTATCAGACAATCTAGATTGTAACCAAAGACTGTAACAAGAGATCAAGAAGGGCACTATATCATAGTAAAGAGGACAATCCAACAAGATCTAAAAATTGTATTTATGCACCCAACATGGGAGCACCCAATATATAAACCAATTAATAACAAACATAAACTTACTGGTGATAACACATAATAATAGTAGGGGACTTTCACACCCCACTCACAGCAATGGACAGATCATCTAATCAGCAAATCAACAAGGAAACAATGGCTTTGAATGATACAATGGAGCAGAAGGACTTAACAGATATATTCAGAACATTTCTAATACAGCAGAATACACATTCTTTTCAAGTGCACATGGGATATTGTCCAGAATAGATCACATATTAGGTCACAAAGCAGGCCTCAACAAGTACAAAAAGACTAGATCACACTATGCATATTTTCAGACCACAAGGCTACGAAACTTAAAGTCAACCACAAGAAAAAAATCTGGAAAGACCACAAATACATGGAGGTTAAACAACACGCTACTGAACAATGAATGAATGGGTCAACCAGAAAATCAAGTAAGAAATAAACACACTGAAACAAATGAAAATGAAAACACAATGCTCCAAAACCTTTGAGATGCAGCACAAGCTGTTCTAAGAACGAAGTATAGAGCAATACAGGCCTACCTCAGGAAGCAAGAAAAATCTCAAATAAACAACCTAACCTTACACCTTTTGAAAGAGCTAGAAAAAGAAAAACGCCTAAAGCCAGCAGAAGGAAGGAAATAATAAAGATAGAGCAGAAATAAGTGATATAGAAACTAAAGAAAACAACAGAACAGATCAATGAAACCAGGAGCTGGTTCTTTGAAAAAACTAATAAAATTGATAAACCTCTAGCCAGACCTATCAAAAAGAAAAGAGAAAGGACCCTAAATAAATAAAATCACAAATGAGGAGATATAACAACCAACACCGCAGAAATACAAACAATAGTAAGAGGATATCATAAAAAAACTATATGCCAAAAAAATGGACAACCTGGAAAAAACAGATAAATTCCTAGAAACATATAATCCACCAAAAGTGAAACAGGGAGAAAAAGAAAATTTGAATAGACTGATAACCAGCAAAGAAACTGAATCAGTAATCAAAAACTCCCAACAAACAGAAGTCCAGGGCCTAATGGCTTCCCAGGGGAATTCTACCAGCATTATCCTAATTCCAAAATCAGATAAAAGACTCCACTGAAGAAAGAGAACTTCAGGCCAAAAGCCCTGATGAACACGGATGCAAAAATTCTCAATAAAATACTAGCAAACCAAATCCAATAATACATTAAAAAAAATCATTCACTATAATCAAGTGGGATTTATTCCTGGGTTGCAAGTGTGGTTCAATATTCACAAATCAATCAACATGACTTACCACATTAATAAAAGAAAGGATAAAAACCATATGATCATTTCAGTAGATGCAGACAAAGCACAACATCCATTCATGATAAAAACCCTCAACAAAGCAGGTATAGAGGGAACATACCTCAATATATAATAAAGGCCATCTATGAAAAACCCACAGCATCTTCAATGGGGAAAAAATGAGAGCTTTTCCTGTATGGTCAGGAACACGACAGGGATGTCTGCTCTCACCACTGTTACTTAACATAAGCACTGGAAGTCCTGGCCTTAGCAATCAGACAACAGAAAGAAGTAAATGTCATCCAAATCGGCAAGGAAGAAGTCAACACTTCCACTATTTGCAGATGACATGATAGCCTATATGGAAAACTGGAAAGATCCTAGCAAAAAACTGCTAGAACTGATACACAAATTCAGTAAAGTCACAGGTTACAAAATCAATGTATAGAAATCTGTTGCATATCTATACACCAATAATGAAGTAGCAGAAAGAGAAATTAAGGAATCAATCCCATTTATAATTGCACCAAAAACAGTTAAGATACCTAGGAATAAGCCTGACCAAACAGGTGAAAGACCTGTACACTCTGAAAACTATAAAACACTGATGAAAGAAATTGAAGCTGACACAAAGAAATGAAAAGGCATTCCATGTTCATGGATTGGAAGAAAAAATATTGTGAAAATGTCTATACAAGCCAAAGCAATCTACACATTTAATGCAATCCCTATCAAAATACCCACAGAATTTTTCACAGAGCTAGAACAAACGATCCTACAATGTGTATGGAACCACAAAAGACCCTGAATAGGCAAGGCAGTCTTGAGAAAGAAAAAAAAGCTGGAAGCATAACAATTCCAGACTTCAAGCTCTATTACGAAGCTGTAATCAAGACAGTATGGTACTGGCACAAAAACAGACACATAGATCAATGGAACAGAGTAGAGAGCCCAGAAATGGACCCTCAACTCTATGGTCAACTCATCTTCGACAAAGCAGGAAAGAATGTCCAATGGCAAAAAGACAGTCTCTTCAACAAATGGTGTTGGGAAAACTGGACAGACACATGCAGAAGAATGAAACTAGACCACTTTCTTACACCATATACAAAAATAAATTCAAAATGGATCAGACACCTAAATGTGACACCTGAAACCATAAAAATCCTAAAGAGAACACAGGCAGTAATTTCTCTGACAGTGGCAGTAGCAACTTCTTTCTTGGTATGTCTTCAGAAGCAAGGGAAACAAAAGCAAAAATGAACTATTGGGACTTCACTGAGATAAAAAGGTTCTGCACAGCAAAGGAAACAATCAACAAGACTAAAAGGCAACTTTTGGAACAGGAGAAGATATATGCAAATGATGTATCTAATAAAGGGTTAGTATTCAAAATATATAAAGAAGTTACAAAACTCAACACCCCACAAATGAATAGTCAGTCCTATTAAAAAATAGGCAGAAAATGTGAACAGACATTTCTCCAAAGATATCTGGAGAGCGAACAGACACATGAAAAGATGCTCAACATCATCCGTCATCAAGGAAATGCAAATCAAAACCACAATGAGATAAAATGTCACACCTGTCAGAATGACTAAAATTAACAAGACAGGAAACAACAGGATCTGGAGAAAGGGGAACCGTCATGCACTGTTGGTGGGAATGCAAACTGGTGCAGCCACTCTGGAAAACAGTATGGAGGTTCCTCAAGAAGTTAAAAACAGAAGTACCCTGTGATCCAGCAATCAAACTACTGGGTATTTACCCAAAGCATACAAGAACACTAGTTCAAAGGGATACATGCACCCCAATGTTTATTTACAATAGCCAAACTATGAAAGCAGCCCAACTGTCCATCAACTGATAAATGGATGAAGAAGATATGGTATATACATAACAATGGAATATTACTCAGCCATCAAAAAGAATGAAATCTTGCCATCTGCAATGACATGGATGGAGCTAAAGAGTATTACGCTAAGTGAAATAAGTCAGAGAAAGACAGATACCATACGATTTCACTCATATGCAGAACTGAAGAAAACAAAACAGATGGCAAGGGGAAAAGAGAGAGAGAGAGAACCCAAGAAACAGACTCTTCACTCCAGAGAACACACTGCTGGTCACCAGAGGGGAGGGGGCCGGGGGGTGGGTGAACAGGTGATCAGTATAGAGGAGGGCACCTGCTGTGATGAGCACCGGTGACATACAGAAGCGCTGAATCACTACACTGTACACTAATGTTACACTGTGTTGAATAACTGGAATTGAAAACTTTTAAAAATAAATAAAACGCAACAGGAAGTTAAAAATATCAATCCCACTGTGTCCTTCTGGCATCCCTGCCTGTTTCTCACCTTTATCATGGTGCAGATACCTCAAGTTCAGCTCAGTTTCGGGAGTGACGTGCCCTCAGGAGTAAGCTCCCTTTTACTACACTCAGCCTCTCCACGCTTCAGTAACTCAGCAAGGCTCTGTCATGCACAGACCGATAGTCTCAAAGTAGTTTTCTGGGGCTTTACACATCTGCATTTTTCTGAGGTGAACCCAGGTTTTCAGAAGACCATATTTCCAGGCATTAAAACTTCACAAAAATTTATTAAATCTTGAGTTTTTAGGAACGAAAGAGGCAGGCAACTGCCTAGATGCAGGAGTTACAGAACGGCAGTGCCTACCTAGGAGGTTTGATCTTGAATGCAGTGTTTAACATTTTTTAGGATTTGCATGGCCTGAGGTGAGGTACGAACTGGCCCTGGTCCCACAGCCTTGCTGGGCCAAGTGAGCACACGCTATTATCCGTCTCCAAGTTCCAGAAGTCACCACAATGTCCCAATGCAGCCACAGATGCACTCCCCTTAAGAAATGTACCTGCATCACATGCCTGGGCTTCCAAGCGGCCACAGGTAAGACCACGTTGAGTCAGGAACACAAAATGTAACAGAGATGGCAATGGGAAGAAATGTCACCTCTACAGGTAATTTAGTAACCAAGGGGAATAATTCATTTAAGGTAACTAGTTAAGTGACGACCTCCTCTCTTGTTAGTCCAAATGTTACAGGAATTCATTAATTCCAACTGTAATCAACCAATATAAACGACCTCACCAAAGGGTTCACCAAAAACCAGACTAAACTGACCAACAAGGTAGAACTATGGATGTTTTAGTAACTACTAATTCGTACTTTCAAGACAGAGAAAACAGATCTTTTGTAACGGGAGAGCACATACCCACCGGCTCAGGGGGCTGGATCAAGAATTTACTCAAGGTCTTTCCAGTCCTCCAAGTGTCAATGTCTACATCCTTCTTCTCACATGTCCACACACGCTACTAACTGGGCATACTTCGTGTGGAAACACACTGGATCCATCCCCACACCAGAGCTTGGTAGAAGCATTATCCATAGGAGGAACTTTTATGTAACCCCAAGAAATGTGGCCATGCCTCAGGTACTCAGCACTCACATGAGCCCACCCCTTATTCTTGGGTTTGTTCCAACCTTAAGTTACCACTTTTTTTTTTTTTTTTTTTTAAAGTGAGACAGACAGCACAGGCAGGGGAAAGGCAGAGGGAGAGGGAGAAGCAGGCTCTACGCTGAGCTGGGAGCCCGACATGGGGCTCGATCCCAGGACCTGGAGGTCATGACCTGAGCCGAAGGCAGACGCTTAACCATCTGAGCCACCCAGGCGCCCCGGCAGTAATGCTTTCTACATAGGAGATACAAGTTAAACGTTTTGAATAAAAAATACCAATGAATTAATTCCTACTGTTCAGTGCAGTTAATTTCACTTGTACTGTACAGTTACCCACACAGACAGAACTCATCTCCAAGTGTGCATAGACCACTGTGTGTGCACACTAGGTTCTCAGCCGTGCCCACCGCACAGAGTGTGCACATGGAGACACCAGGTGTCGACACGCCGGAGACTTGTCAGCAACCAGCACTTCTACAGAACCGCCTCTAGCTTCTCCTCTTCAGGCTGCCACGTCAGTTACCACCTGATGCTCACCACATTAAGAGAAAACCTCTTCTGAAAAGCTCCACCTTCATTCTTAACCTTCATTCATGTAGTTAAATCTCACGTTTGTTTAGTACAAATTAAGTTTAAAAGTCTTTTAATAGTGTCAAGGGCTGAATGTACTCACTGTCAGCTTCTCCTCCCGTTTCTTCCGGTAGCCAAAGGAATTCTTCCTAGACAAGAGGAAAGCAAAAGACTGTGAATTTTTTCCCACTTGGAAGGTTTTTCATTGAGCACAGGTATGTGCACACATAGTCTTTCTTACTTTGTAATCTGTTACAGTTAACTTTTGATTGCAAAATCCCAACCTTAGGAAGTATAAGCAAAACAAGAATTTTATAGTAAAAGACTAAAAGTAATGTCTAGATTTGAAAAAGAAAAAAGAAAGAAAAACATTTACTGACAGAATTTTCCTAGTGGTCATTTAGAATTTTTGTTACATAAACACCTGAATGTCCATTCAGTTGCAATGATGAGATATATAAAATGAGACAATGAGCCAACAGGTGAACTAGTAAACACTGCTAATGAAAATATATCAGGTTAATCATCAAAGTAGAAAGACCCAGAAGCAGGCTAGTGTGCTCTCACTCCCTCCCTCAGCCCTGACATGACTTCATCAGCCCCCTCCCGCTACCCACCGGCTGGCAGCAGGGTTTCCAAGCCCCAGGAACCAGCAATACCCCGCTTCTGGCTGCGTGCACAGGGCTCTAGATTTCTGGGGGCCAGCACCCTTGCCCGGCACTGAAGCAACAAACACCAACTGAGTGGCCAAGGCCCAGGAGGCCCTGAGGCCATATGCCTCAGACAGGCATGCTCCGGACAGGCTTCCGTGGCCTAAGAGCCCACAAGCTAATTCTACTCCATAATATTTGTTTTAATTTACTTATCCCTTTGTTATTTCAACTGAATACACTGGTACTGTGTAAGCTGGAAAGGAGTTCAAAGAAATAATCTTGACTAATTCGTTTACTTTACAGAAAACCTACAAGCAGTCTTGCCCAAGATGGCCTAACGAGCTTAGAGCTTAGGGCCCTCGACTGTGATGTATTTGAAAATAACAATTATAAAACATGCCGAACTGATGGAATTTGAAAACACTAATAACTTATTAGGACAGGTAGGTCACAGCTGTCTGACAGCAGCTCTGAAGGACTCACCTCCCTCTCCCTAAGCCAGGAGGCGACTCCGCACTGCTCTGCTCCACTCGACCAGACCCAACCTCCCTCTTGGTGTAGGTTGGAGGATTCTGTATCCGTGTTCTAGGCTGACCTGTCTGCCGTGTTTGTGGGCTTCGAACACCATTAATTAGGCGGTCTGCAGTGAAGTTAAATATTGAAGGGCTTTCTAATAGCCCAGCTCCTCTCTCTGCACTGGGAATGGTGTGGCGTAGATGAGATTTACTAGGATTCCTGTAAACAAAAGGTTTGCATACATTCGGTTATAATGCGATCGTGGCGTCCTAAAATGAGATTGCTAATATGTGAATGTCTCAGCTAAAATAAAAACACTGCTGAAGAAATAGTTCATGCACACTGCGTCCGATAGTGCGAATCTATAAAGTATCAATGTCCTGCTTAGTGGCAGTGCAAGCCCACATTAAAGGCAGACACATGCAGATACAAGCTGCAGACAATCTGTAGGCACTCCGACACACATTTCAGGGGTTCCTCTCACAGCATGTTATTCTATGCCTCGAGCAGTTTGATCTGCACTGGTCAAACAAATCCCAACAGATCATCAGAAGCAGCTTCTTCACTTAGTAAAAGTGACTCGTGCACGTGGTGAGGATTTCCAGGTTTAACACCATCTGTCCTGCTTTGCTGTTCGAGTACACACCATGGCAGTGACCCGTTACCACAAACCCCAGACAACCACGTTTTTGGCATTTCGTTTCAACCACTCATGGAACTTGCCTGCTTCTTGGAGGGTACTGTCTGAGCGAAGTCAGAGGAGATGCTGCAGGTTTGAAGGTTGGAGACGTAAACCCATTTATAAATCCAGTATTTGGAAACGGAGTTACCTAGATTCATTAAAAACAAACACGTCAACAAGCCATAGACAGACCTGGAATTGGCTAACACTGTACGCACCTTGTGGTTGCCTGGGTTGTTTCTTGACACTGTCTTCCATTTTATACCGAAAATATTCCCAGGCTGAAAAGAACATGGTGTTAGATCATTGCCAATGACCAGTATTTCCTGAGCCAGGCTGGGGGCTAAGACCTTTTTCTGGGCCGACTCGGGTGATCTTCCCACAGCAGCCTGCCGAGGAAGCTAACTGACACCTGTGCAGAGGCTACAGCTGAGAGCGAGCTGTGACAGAAAACGGATGTTAGGGACAGTGTGGGACCAAAAATTGCTAATTTAAAAAAAAAAAAAAAGCAACAGAGGGTAAACTTTGGGGCAGAAAGATACCCTTGGGACTTCGTGAGAATCCTCAACGTATGTTTGAGAACAGCTCCCAGAGTCAGACTGTTTAAAAATGGATCAGCCGGGCGCCTGGGTGGCTCAGTTGGTTAAGCGACTGCCTTCAACTCAGGTCATGATCCCAGGCTCCCTGCTCAGCGGGGAGTCTGCTTCTCCCTCTGACCCTACCCCCTCTCATGGTCTAGCTCATTCTCTCTCTCAAATAAATAAATAAAATCTTAAAAAAAAAAAAAAAAATGGATCAACCATCCCAGAACCAGATTCTGAGGATCGTAAACTATGCTAAGATCACTCATGACAAATCATTTCCTTTTACATACGCAACTCTGGTATTTGCAAAATTGTGCTCAAGAGTTTAAAAAATAAATCAGTTCCTAACCCAATAATTTAACACGACTTGCTGAGAATTCACAGGCACTGTATCTTCACATCTGCTCAAAATGACACAGTATGCTTTAAAGCAAGCAAAAATGTGCCCACCCCCCCAAACTAGGATCAAAGGAACCCTCCTCGATGGCCAGACAACTGACCTCAGGTGCCAACAGCCCGGCCCCTGCTCCAGGACGGATACGGGGCCGATTAGAGAAATGAGAGAAGCGACTCAAGAGGAACTAAACAGCACAAGCGTGGCGGCTAGCCTCCTTGGGGAGAAATTCTTCAACACAAGAATTTAAGGACTCTCTCTCCCTTGAAGGTTCTCTCATCATATATCAGGCTACATGGCTGTGGGCACACTTACAGAAAGTAGCAGAGATTTCAAAAAAGTAGTGCATTATCAGGATTCCCTCTGAAGAGAGAAGCAACTCTGAAGGCCAGCACCTGTCTGCTAACTGCCCCTCCCCCGCACTGTGGTGGTTCTAGACCCTGGGGCTCTGCCGGCGCCCGAGAGGACCTCTCCTCACCCTTCCCCGTCTGCCCTTCGCGCGTCCCATCAGCCACGGGCCCAAACCACATGCCCCAGGGCCCATTTAAGAAGCTGTACAGCTGTCTCCCAGTTCCCCGCCTCAGCCTCGGGGTCAGCTCAGAGATACCCACAATGCCACCCCCCACCTAGCGCCTCGGGACATGCTGCCCACTCTCCTGCAGCCCCTCTCCCTCCCACCCCTTCTGATAAGCTCAACAGAAAAGGACATAACACCCGATAACCCCCTAATTATAAGTTCCAGAGTATTCGGTCCCATTTCTTCAATTACTGCCTGTTTGATGGACATCGTTGTCTCTTCCAGGCCACCTTCTTTCACGGACATGTCTTTACACGTTGTTATGAAACAGGCACCAACCGTCCCAGCTGAGGCGATGCTCTTCTCCCCAGCTCACCCCCTTCAGTCAACATCCTCTTTCTACCATGAGCGGTAACGAGAGCCCCAGATAACATCCCCACATCCCCCACCTGACCCGAGCCCCACACAACTGGCCCTGACTCGGTCCACAGCCGTATCCTCAAAGTCATTAAAACTCAACTCCTGCTTTCTGACCATGACCTTCCACACCCTCCACCTTCCCTCTCTCTGGTTCCAAAGAAAGCTGCCCTGCAACCTCGGGTGCACCTGTCCATCAGTCCATCCCCACTGTCTCAGGTGGGAGGCCAGCAGCCGGGACTGAGCAGACCAGTCCTGACTTTCACATCCCACACTCCACCGAGCTCATGCCAGTGCCCAGGCAGGGTGCACCTGACCTCTCTAACCCCTCCAGCAGCACAACTGGAGAAAAGCGGACTGGATCCACTACACAGGCCAGCCAACTCTGGGGCTGGTGTGAGAAAAAAAGCTTGTAGGTCTTCTACTTGTCCTCAACTGTTAACGTCTATTAAAACACCTCTGTCTCCTTAAAAGCATCTCTCCTTGCAAGCCCCCCGTGCTCAGGCATAACCCAGGGATCCCAGACTTCAGATCACATTTTGTGTTTTACTGGGGATTACACAGCTTAGGAAGGTACTGCTATACAGGAGGGCAGGGGGACTGGGCCAAGGGTCAATATGATAGCCTATGAAGGTTTTTTTTTTTTTAATGTACACAGCTGCATATTGATCTCCCAATTAAATTTAAATCCACAAAGGAACGGGAAGGTCTGTTCTACCATGGCAAACTGTCTGTGTACCTGGGTCCCCCACTACAACCTCATCTCTACCCTTCCAAGCACCTCGTGCAGTGTCCACGACGTCCTGCCGCACGAGCTCCACGTAAGGTCAGGACTCACCAGGGGTGGGTCGAGATAGCTGTGTGCTGCCGACCACGTGTGGGGGGCGATCAGGCTGTACAGGGGGAGCTGCTGCTGGGGGCTGTAGACAGGAGGTAAGTAAAAGGAGGCGGTGTAGCGCTGCTGCGCGTAAAGGCTCATGTCCAGAGGTCTAAATCCATTCTTTGGCAAAAATGTGTTTATAGCTATTGCCTTTGCTTTTATCCGTGCCTGTTTGGGAATACAGAAATTTCTATCAGAATACTCAAGAACTGATTGGCAAGTAAAGAAAAGTATAACCCATGGTCTTGCTTACCTTAATTGGTTTTCCTTGAAAAGTTTTCACTTCTTCTCGCAGATACTTGTAAGCCTGAGGGCAAAATCACCCAAAATACCACTGTGTTAATCTTATAAATAAGATGAACTGACAGTTAACGCAGGACCTCGAATAAGGAATGGTATAGTTTAAATATAAGGGAAAACACCCAGAACCTACACTGGGTCACAGATCCCTTAAAAAAGAACCTCTAGGAGCTAAGGAGCCTCTAGCAAAAAAATCTCATGAACAACATTTGCATACAATTCTTTTAGTATTAACAGATACCACAAAAGCCTCCCACAACCACAGGCTAAGGATCCTGACCTGGGGAAAATAATGGACACCACACCCCTAACATTAAACCCCAGTTTGAAAATGGAATTGCACAGTTCAAGAAAGGGAAACATTCAGATTGCAGTTATTTCTGCAGCTCCTTATTCTTCTCCAAAGTGCCCTCCCTAACTGGGAAGGCTCTGTGCCACGTGCCCTGACCTTGGCCTACCACCCCTCTGTCCTGGTGAGGAGCACTGGCACCTGCCCCACTGACAGGACTCTGCTCGTTCCCCACCGCCCTGCCCTCCTGTGCCCTTTCCCTCCATCCCACTCAAACCCGTCCTTCAAATGGCCGTTTCTCTCATCTCAACTTCCCAGCATCCACATCACCTACCACTCATCACCGTACAGCTGACCCTTGAACAACACGGGTTTGAACTGCAAGGGTCCACTTACATGCAGACTTCTTTCAATAAACACAGGACCAGTACTATGAACGTATTTTCTCCTGATTTTCTTCACAGTATTTTCTTTTCTCTAGCTTACTTTATCGTAAGAACACAGCACATAATAAAAACAACATACAAAACGTGTTGATTGTTGCTGTTATCAGTAAGGCTTCAGATAGGTGAGCGGTAGACCATTAGTAGTTCAGATGTGGGGAGTCCATAGTTCTACGTGGACTCCTCCCTGCATGGGGTCAGCATCCCCAACTCCCTTGCCGCTCAGGGGTCAACTGTACTGGCACTCCTGGAAGCACGTTAATGTTTCCCCCAAATAAGATTCCACCCTTTAGGCCAGGGAGACCCCATCTTCACTCCTTGCATCTCCTCACAGAGCTTCCCCAGGGACTTTTCAACTATCTGACATACACACAATGATGACTTGTGAAACTTAAAATTACGTTCAAATTTCCCAGAACACTTTCCAAATATTAACTTTCTCTACCCAGATGAAACAACAGAATTCATTTTCATGGGCTGCTTGTCTCACATGTCCTTAGAAAATAATGTCATATGCTTTAACTGCTACAAAACTGTCTTCACCAACACCTATTTCAGTTTCTATAACCTGATTTCCTCTGCATTTTATAATCAAACTTAAGACCACCATGCAGTAGTAATCTCCAGGCCCCAATTTAGTGCCCCCCCACGTACTACTTGTGAAGTATGGGTAACGCTGAGCTCCACGGGGTTGGGAACAGCTTACCTGCTGTGCATCAGCTTCGGTTTCAAATGTAATAAACCAATTATCATTATAGGCAAATTCACAGTTTATAAATTTCGGTAAATTGTCTCCTTTAAATAGTGCTTCTACTTCCTACAGGAAACAGAGATGTAGAAATTAATTCTTGACTACGCCACGTTTGTCCTTACCAAGTAGAAATGACGCATACACTCAAGGACAGATCCTTAGACAGAGTCCAACATATGGACAGCTAGTAAGCCTCTTTCAGAAGAGCTGAGGAGCTGACTGGCACAGAAAATAAGTCCACAACTTATTGATAGCTTTTCTTCGTACACCAAGGTACCATGAAGCTAAATTAATGTGAAAATATCGTTATCACTCTACCAGAAAGCTGGTAAACTTACACAACTGGGGAATGAGGTGGTGGTGAGAGAAATTTAAACATTAGCTGAACTTTTGTTTTTGCCCAAGATGGACCAGATTTACCTTCCCATTGAAACAAATTATATGAAAGAACAGTTTTAGACAGCAGAGCTCAGGCCATGCAGGGCATGTGAGCCTGGGGTGCCCATGGGGGCCCCACAGGCCCCCAGTGCCAGGGAGGTGAGCATGACCCGGCCGCACAAATGTAGGGCTCTCACGGGGTCTCCCAGGGCACAGCATGCATAACAGCCCCTGCAATGATTAGAGGGAACAGCTGCAGCACTCACAGAGACAGGGGGTGTGTCTGCCCCCACCGAGCCGAGCAGAAAACACTCCCAATGCACAGGGGCTCAGGCACAGTGTGCAGAAGGGCACTGCTCTGGCATGGGCAAGAACAGGCCCTGCAGTCATGTGGCCCTACTTCCGCCTGACAACACTCCTAAAGGGTCACACTGAACCTCAAACAAAGCTCAACATCAGTTCCGGGAAGTAATACAAAAACATTTAGTACTCCATAAAGTAAAATCCAAAATGCCTGGCATCCATTCAAAATTTACCGGGCGCACAAAGAAACAGAAAAGACCTGAAGGGGAAAAAAAAAATCAACCAAATTAGGCCCAGAAAGGATATAGATGATAGAATAAAAAGGCAAGAATATTAAAACAGTTCTTAGATATGTCTCCTATATTCAAAAAGGTAAGACTGAGCATGTTCAATAGAGACACGGAAGAGGAAAGAAACAAAGACCCAAAAAGAACTTCTGGAATGAAAAATGCACTACGTTGCATTAGCAGTTAGTTAGGAACTTTGAAAGGAAGAGAAGGGAGAAGAGAAAAAGTGCATGACGAAGTAACAGCTCAGGACACTTCCAAGTTCAAGAAACTCACAAGCTACATCAAGGGGCATCACCATCAAATGGCTTAGGATCTTCAAAGCACTGAGAAAAAGGGAGCGGTGCCGACATGCAGAGGAACGAAGAGCAGAGTGACAGAGCAGCCCCAGAAACAGCGCGCACCAGAACACAGGCACACAGCATCTTTAGATACAGGAAGGGAACACGAGCCTGTAATCCTGGGTTCTACACCCAGAGAGAATGGCTTCCATAAATGAAGGCAAAATAAAGACTTTCTCAAAAAGAATGAATAAATAAAAAGAAAAAAGAAAAAACATTTCTCAAACACACAAAAGCTGAAAAACCTCCCTGCCAGGAGAGCCGCACCACAAGAAATAAAGGATGAAAGAGGCAGAAAGGAGGCCAGAAGGAAGTGTGGACCTGAACACGGGCATGGCAAGCACTGTAAATGGTAAATGCTGGATAAATAGGAAACACATTTTTCTTACTTTAATCTCTTGAAAAGAAAACTCGCTTGTTGGAAGCAAACATAACCAAGTACTGTGTGGTTTCGGGCTACACAGCGTGCCCGCCGGGCGCAGGAAGTGGAGCGAGCCTCGGAAGGGGGAGCAGTGGGGCACTATTAACTACAGGCAGATGCGGACCAGCTGGACATGTCACTGCAAACCCTAAAAGCAGCCACTGAAGCAAAGAGTTACATCTAGTAAGCCAAAAATGGAGACAAAAATAATGAATTTAACCCAAGTAGAAAGGGAGGCACGGAAAGAAAGGAAAATGAGGAACGGGACGAAGAGAAAACGGGCAGCAAGGTGGCCAGCTTACACCCAAGCCCACTCCTGATCACTCACAGGGGAGCGACCCAAGCTCCCCACTCAGAAGGCAGGGGGAGCTGCAGCCTGGCTCAGAAGAGCAGGCCCCAACTCCAGGCAGCCCACAGGAAGTCCACTCAAAACCCTGGGGCGGCGCCACTCACCCCACAGTCGATTCAAAGCATCACCAGGGGACCGGGGCCATTTTATGAAAGAAAGACTATTAATCAACCAAATGAACTACAATTGAAAGAGTTTTCCAACCACTGACAAGCACAGGGCTGCACTGAAACAGGAAGAGTGCTCTGAAGCCCCTGGGGCAGGGGGCGCCAGCCCGAGCAGAGGGGCTCTGTGTGCTCAGTGCTCCGCAGGCTTCCTGTCTTCTCGTTCAGCTTGCACCGCCTCCCCCACCCCATTCTGCGCAACTCTTACTTTACTAAAAAGACTAAAAAACTTCCACGGTTCAAGTTTTACAACAGACACAGGGTGTGCCGTTTGGAATAATATAAATATACCAAGATCAATGTCTGCAGCTAAAAGTAGAAAATTCTTTTTGGTTAGTCCTTACAAATATTTCAAAGGACCTACGTGTTAAATATTATTGTTAGTTAATAAAGACATCCAGATTGGTAGAAAGAAGTAAGATACTTCATATTTAGAAACTTAAAAAAAAAAGGACAAAAAATTCATTCCTAATTTCTTTTTCTTCACATATAATATAGAACTAGTAAAAATAGCCTCAGCTGAACAGAAAGTAAAACTTGCTAGAACAATGCCATACTCGAGAAGGATGTAATTTCTTGTCCTAGGCTTGTTAGAACCTGAGCTCACCTCTGGTACACTACACCAAGAAGTGTCCTTCGTACACCCGCACACACACACTAATCGATTTCCTCTGCAGAGACGGCTCTGAGAATGTACGCGGCCTGAGTCCCTCGGGCCTACACCTCAGGGAAGACGCCGTGACTGACAAAGCAAACTTCCTGGGGTCTCGAAGAAGAGTCCCCACAGCAGTGAACCACCACGCTCTACACAGGTCAAGAGCTGACTCCATCGGAGCCTCGCACAAAGGCTCTTGTACAACCGCCAGGTTTTCAATACACAACGCACCTCAGTTTAAGCGTCTGGACAGTTAACAGACTGTACAGCAAAGCAGGAACTGTAGAGGACTTTTCATGACTCCGACACTATCAAATACTGTGGTTTCCTAAAATTACTGCCTAAGTTGGTACTTTTCTTTTTTATTTTATTTATTTGAGATAGAGAGAGAGCGAGCGAGCACAAGCGGGCAGAAGGAGAGGGAGAAGCAGACATTCCCCCCCGCCCCCCGAGCAGGGAGTCCAATTTGGGGCTCGATCCCAGGACCCTGAGATCATGACCTGAGCCAAAGGCAGACGCTTCACCGACTGAGCCCCCCAGGCTTCCCTGCCTCTTCAGTATTTTTTAATGTGAAGTATATAATGGGAGTTCTGAGACCAAAAAGTTTGAGTACCACTCTTACAAATGAATCACACTGTAACTAACAGTGTGTAAATCCTGGGAAGAAAGTGTTACTATCAGTATTCTTTACAATACACCCTCTAAAAAACAAGTAAGTAAACAGAAATAAACAAAAACCTACAAAAAACGTCCAACCGCCCTTCCAAGGAGACTTACTTCTACAGGAGTGGACTCAGGTATTTCACGCAGGATCACAATGCAACGACTCTGATTTGGCCTTACTTTTTCTCCCTTCTCATCCACTTGGACTAAAGGTAAAGCTACAAAGAGAAGAAAAATGAATGGTAAAATACAAATATTAAAATAAATCATTTGCATTCTAGTTATGACATAATACAGACACTCCAGTGTGATGTGCTACATTATATTTACTTAACACAATGAAGACACCTGTATACAGTGGGATACCGTAACACAAACCATCAGAAGGTTTTACACCCATCCCTCAGGTTAATTTCTCAAAACTAAGGAGCACAGGAATTTTAAAAAGTCCTTTAAGAGCTAAAATAAATTTAACACCATGAAACAAGGATTCTCAACAGCCCAACCAACATGTAGATCACAACTCAAGAGCTACTGGCTTGTTCTTTTCTATGAGCCCCTAACGTAAAATAATTTTCTGTCCTATTACGACTTCTGACTTTGAACTCACAACAAGGTGCCACGTGCGCCCCACACAGCTCTTCCCAGCGGTGACATCCTCCACCAATCGCAGCCCACGGTCTACGTAAGGAGGGTGGTGCTGGGACAACAGTGCTAACACAGGGACAGGCGGAATTCAGCCCTCACAAGCTTTTACACACACTCCTTTTTGTGATGTTCTGTTCTGGTGTCAGGTCTGTGAAACCATATCATGTATAGATTCCAGTCACACACAACCATGACCACAATCAGGGCTCAGAGCTGTCCACCCCCACAAAGACATGTTACCAACATCAGGAATGAAGACTGACTTCACTACAGGTTCTACTAGTATTGAAAGGACCCTAAGGGAATATCATGAAAAAGTTCCTGCTAACAGAACATTAAGTTAGACAACTTACACGAAACAGAAACATCCTTAAAGACACACGCTACCAGAGCTCGCTCTAAGACGACAGTCACCAACAGAGACCCAGATCTAGGACAGAAGGGAAGACTCAAGGCTACATGGTGTCCCTAGAGAACCCTAACACTTGAGGAAAACCCAGTTCTACAGCACGAACTCTTCCAAAGTACTTGAGAGTACACTCCAATTCCACCTATGAAGCCAGCAGCTCTCTGATATCCAAACTAAACAAAAACAACACAAAGCGAGAAAACTACAGACCAATATCCCTGTGAACACAGATCAACAATTCTTACCAAATTTTGCCAAATCGAATCCCACAATATATAAAATAGTAACAAATCATGACAAGTGGGGTTTGTCTCAGTAATGAAAGGTTGGTTTACCAACAGAAAATTAAGCAATGTAATTCACATTAATGGACTAAAAAACAAAAAAAAACATACCATTACCTCACAGATGCAGACAAAGTATTTGGCAAAATCCAACATTCCTGAAAAAAATTCTCAGCAAATTAGGAATGGAAGGGAAAACCTCCTTACTTAGGAAAAGTCAGCATCTAGCATCACACTTATTGAAGACAGGACAAAGCAAAAACACCGACTCTCTCCACTTCCGGTCAACACTGTACTGGAGGTTTAAGCCAAGGCAATAATGCAAGAAACAGAAACTGAATGCACCCAGACTGGGTATAAAGAGGTAAAACTTTCCATTCACAGGCAATAAGCTTATTTCTATGTAGAAAATCTGAAAAAATTTCCCAAAAAATTAGAATTGAGGAGTTTAACAAAGTTTTAGTACACAAGATGAACATACAAAAGAGAATTGTATTTTTACATACTAGCACTGATGGAAAATTGAAATAAAAACATTTAAAATTGTGTCAAAAACAGGAAATAGTTATAAATCTGTTAAGATACGGATGACCTGTACATTGAAAACTGCAGAACATTACCAAGAGAAAATTATAAAAGATGTAAATAAACGGAGAGATACTGTGTTCACTACTGTTATGTCAATTCTCCCCAAACTGATTTACAGATTCAATGCAATCCCAATAAAAATGTTTCTGAAAAACTGAAACGCTGATTCTAAAATTCATATGGAAACACAAAGCACTTAGAAGAGCCAAAACAAAGTTGGGAAACTCTGCACCTACTTGAAGACTTCTTACAAAGCCAGAGTGATCAAGACACTGAAGTGCAGGTGTCAAAACAGAGAAGCAGATCAAGGACACAAAGCCCAGAGATAAACCCGCAGTGTGGGGACAGATGATCCCGACAACAGCACCAAGTCCAACTCAGTGGAGAAGGGAGAGTCTTTCCAGCTAACGGTGCTGGAACGGTTGCATACCCACGTGTCAGGGGGCAGAGAACTTAGATCCATACCTCAAACCGCATACAAAGATTAGCTTAAAATGGACCACAGACCTAAATATATAAACCCTAAAACTATAAAACTTCTGGGAGAAAACCTCCATGACTCTGGATTAAGAACAGATTTCTTAGATACAACACCAAAAGCAAGATCCATAAAAGAAAAAAATTAATGAATTGGACTATACAAAAAATTCAGAACTGTGTTGTTCAAAAACTACTATTACTAGCAGAATAAAAAAAGAGAAGCTAGAGACCAGAAGAATGCAAATCATATACCTGATTAACAGCTTATATCCAGGACATAGATAATACAGTATTTCAAATCACACACACCCCCCCTCAAACCGCAACTGTAAGGAAACTAATAAAAACGTGGAGTGGAAGGCACACGAACAGACATTTCATCAAAGATAAAAGGAGAGCACACAAGCACATGAAAAGATTGTTCAGTGTCACCAGGCATTAGGCAAACAGAAATTAAAACAGCAATGAGATAAAACTAGAAAATCTGCAAGTAAAATGCCTGTGCACAGCGAGTGCTTGCAAGGGTGTGGAGCAATGGGGGCCGCAAGAGCCCGCTCTGGAGACCGGCAGGCAATTTCACAAGTTAAAATACACCTACCATACCATCCCAGCTACTGACCCTGAGAGAAACGGAAGCCTCTGTGCACACTCAGACTTTCACACCAATGCTCATGGCACCTTATGTGTAGTCAAAACCTGGCAATAACCAAGTCTATCAACTGCAGGGTGAATAAACCAAATGTGGTCTATCTACTGAATGGACTAGGACTCAGCCATAAAAGGCTGTAAGCTACTGATACACTCAACAATAATTTTAAGAAACCAGACCCTCTTGCCTCCCAAAAAGCCTACTACATGATTGATTCCATTTACATAAAGTTTTCAGAAAATGCAGACTAAGGTACAGCGACACAAAGCAGATGAGCAGTCGCCTGACGCAGGAGCAAAAACTCTCAGGGGTGACAGTATGTTCATTATCTTCATTACAGTAATTCCGCGGGTGTAAAGATGTCATCATTTAACAAATGTACATGTAAACCACATGTAATTTAAGGTGTGTAAATTCTACCTCAAGAAAGCTGTAAAAAACAGAACAACAAACAGGGATTGGTGAAACTCCCCGTGCCTCTCATCCCCGGGTTTTGTCCCCAGTTTGTGTGCCCCTGTAACGTTCACCTTTAGTCAGGAGAGTCAGACCCACTCAGGTCTTTGTATTCTTACCCCTGGACCTCTGAGCCCATGAAAAGCAGAGTTCTATCTATTTTACTCATATCTAAACTCTATACAGACGTTATCATTTTGTACATATGTAAAATAGGCTTTTGTATTCAGCATTACGATTTTAAAATGAATTCTTGTTGAAAATGTAGGCTCGTTCGTTTTATCTGTTCTAGTATATTCTCTGTGAGGCTCCATCACAGTGTATTTATATCTGAGTCTATTTTTAAATTAGCAATTTCAACTATATTTAAAGTGTAAAAACAAAGCATTTGAATCAGACATTCTGTACCATGCACTACGTACCACGTGTATTATGACACAAAAACATAATTTATGCAATTCAATCAACACTAGAGTTTTGGTGTTGTACTAGGGAATATTCAAATTAAAATAAAATGTTACCAAGTGTCTACTGTGTATCTAACGTTCTATGTGAGGCATTTTTGGGGATGGGAATAAGATTTAAACAGGAAATCACTGCTCACAGAAGCTTATTTATGTCACCCTCCCCAGAACTACAACTAATATGCTAACCACATTCTGTTCATTAGGTTATTACATATGCACATATATTTCTGTCTACAACTGGAGTGAAAAGAAGCAATCAGACACTCAAGAGCTGAAGGCAGATGGATAGGAGTTACCACTACAACTGTAGACCGACCGCCCACCGAGACGGTGCTGGCAGGGAAGGCAGAAGAAGGGTGGGGAGGGTGGCAGGGCTGTGGGTCCACGGGGAGAAGCGGCTCCCTGTAGCAACCACACAGGACACAGGGCAATTCAACATCCTCGTGCTCTGCATGAAGACTCCTAGCCAGCAAGCATCAACCGAGAAATCATCCACGGGGCAGCCAAGTTTCCAAGGAATGGAAGAAATAACTACATCTGGGATTCCTAGCAATAACGAAAGAATGTTAACTGGATGGTGTTGTTTACGTTCAGAAAGCCACTGGCCCTCATAAGTGGATCAGACAGAACCAAACTCAACCGATCCATCAAACAGATTTCTGTTTTGGAGTGTCAAAAAACAAAGCAATGCTGGAAAGCATAAAGCTATCTTATCTCGGGACAGGGGTTATAATTTTCAGAATTCAAACTTCATAGATTACGTTTGCTCATTCTCTTCAATATCTGCTACAGTAATTTAATGACCTTAAAAAATCTGCCTTGGAACAGAAAGTAGAGAACTTTTATTTGCGAACAGAAATCCAACTAAGTTTTAAGATAGGACGTTCACCTATTCTTCTACGAGGTCGAATGCACACAAGCAAAAAATCATCACTACCCGTCAGCCATGCCAGGGAGAGTGCGGAAGCACTGCTGTCTAAGTGTCAGTGACAGAAAGTCACAGTGCTGACATGGGGAAATGGGGTTTTAATTCTGGCGTGACGGATGTCCCCTCACTTAGAAATATTTGGGGCGGGGGGACACAATGTATGCTGTGTTCTTTGTGAAGGACTCAGCGCAGCCCTGAGAAGGGAGAGTACAGAAATAATCCACCTGGTACTTGCAGTCCTATTACCGAAAATGACTTTTAATAATTAAAACAATCCCATTTAAAAAGATATCCAATATACTGTACACTGAATTTCAAAAACATCCCCAGGGAAGCCATCGTGGGTGGCAGGGAGGACTGGAAGCAGTACAAAGGCTCTCAGAAACTGTGGGCAGTGATGGTCTCCCAGACGTCCACCGAGGTCCACGCTGACCCAGCCGTGCACTGCACACACACGCAGCGCAGCCCCCTGGATGTCAGTTATAACCTCGGTCAAATGGTGTCTTCAAAAACACACAACAAAGTGGTTAGGTTGCAGGCGCTTCACCCTTAAAGGCCCACAGTCCCTGAACCCCTGCAGGTCTGATGTAATGTTGAAAACTTCCTCTGACACTGCCAAATGTCCAAGAAACAACTTTGCTCACAATACCCTTTTAAAGAAAACCAGTCCTATTTCACCTTTCAAACTTTAGCAGGAAGTTGAAATTTAAAGAAGCCCTTTTTGTTGCTGGAATGCTAATGAAAATGCATTGTACTTTCCATCAAAGACGGTCATTTCCTTTCACCAACACCCCAGCAGTCGTCTCTGGGGCAGCTTTTCTTAGGCCCACTCCCTGTGACCTGGGATACGCGGGGTCTGAGTTACGGAGCCCATCGACGCCCCTCACCAGACACGGGGGCCAGCCAGAGAGGCAGGAGGGTGAAGGAAGACCCCACCTGCCTTCAAGTACCTGACTGGCTATGGACCTGAAGGGCCACACGGCTGCGAGACCACGTATGCGCCCGCCCAGGCCGCCGTTTACTTACACCTCAGCACTTCCACGATCAAGTTCATGTCAGTACTGAGCTTCTTGATGTGCTCCAGGTTAGCTACCGTGGTGATTGGCACATACTGATCACTGTCCATCTGCGATATAAGGTACATGTCACTAGCAAGGTTCTCCCTGCAGAAAGAAGACAAGAGCTTTTAGTGACTCCTTCTTTAAAAGGACACTTCCAAAGAGGGTGAGCAAGGCATGGCACTGCTTCAGAGTTACATCAGACTTCCAACCCCATCTGTTTCTTGTCAGCTCTCTGACCTCAGGGGAAGTTTTGGGAGAGCAAAAGCATAGTGCACCTTTTACAGTCACAATGAATGAGTGGGTAATCCCTTAAAAATGTTATTTATAGCTTATCTTTGTTCTAAAAAGTGCTTGAGTAACTTATTAAAAATACAAACACAGTTTTTTAGGTTAAGACAACCCAGCTGAAAGAACACAACGCTAAGAAAGCTATGGAAAGGCCAGGAAATGCTGGTGCCCACGTGCCTGCTGCGCTTTCCCGTGCCGCCTGGAACACGTGCGGCCAGAATGACAGAGGAGGACACGTGACCAGTAACACAGCTGCAGGGTCACGGCAGGTAAGCTGCAGGCACCAGCAGCTCGGTGGGAGGTGAGCCACTTGCTAGGGTTCTGGCCTATGGTGATGCTCCTAGTAAGAAGCCTCCACAAACAGGACAATGTGCTCAGAACATCTCAACACAGACAGTGGTCCCAAGGAAGGCCAAGGACAGTCTCCAAGATCCGCAGAGGGCAATGCTGCTCTGTCCCCACCTGTCAGGTAGCACAAGAGGGACAGAGCGAGCTTGTGTGAGGTGCAGACTCCCTTCTTCCACCTCACAGCCTCAGGGCAGCAGCTCTCCCTTTCAGGGCATGCCCTGAGGCCGTGTGCCGGGGCCTAACTGGGGAGGTGTGGGCCAGGAAGGCAAGCTGGAGTACCCGCCCCTCCCCACCCCACCCCTCCCCTCCCCTCCATGCAGCCCCACAGTCTCTACAGCGGCCCTCCTCAGACACTCTGTGAAAGTCTGAAGGCAGGCCCAAAGAAACACCTGAAAAATCTCCATCGCTAAGAGAAAATCTTCCACATGGCCCATCAGTTATCATCACACTCAAAGAAAATTACATTTAACCCAATCCCATCTTCCTGTATGTATCGTTCTGCCATTTTGAACTTTAAAGGTTCTACTCCATTTGTCAAGAAAAAAGGTACTACTCAGGATAAAGGAACAACTAAACATACGAGTGGTACATACACAGAACAATTTGCTACTGTAGGGTTTGGCATACTGGGAGAACTAGAATGGGAAATGTGTTCTCAAACTTCACTGTACTCAAGAATGTCTCTGCGAGGGGCGCCTGGGGGGCTCACTCGGTGAAGCGTCTGCCTTCGGCTCAGGTCCTGATCCCGGGGTCCTGGGATGGAGCCCTGCATTGGGCTCCCTGCTCAGCGGGGAGTCTGCTTCTCCCTCTGCCTGCCACTACCCCTCTGCTTGCGCTCGCTCTGACAAATAAATAAAATCTTTTTAAAAAATAAAATAAAATAAAATAAAAAATGTGGGGGGACCTGTGTGGCTCAGTCGGTCAAAGCGTCCCGAGTCTTGGTTTCAGCTCAGGTCAGGGTCTCATGGGTCCTGGGATCGAGCCCCATATCGGGCTCCCTGCTCAGCGGGGAGCCTGCTTCTCCCTCTGCCTCTCCCCGTCTTGTGCTCATTCTCTCTCTCACTCTCCCTCTCTCTCAAAATAAATAAAATCTTAAAAAAAAAAAAAAAAAAAGTCTGTCAGACTGATGACCTAAGGCCCCACCCTCAGAGTCTGATTCCGTGGTATTGGGGGTGGGGGGAGGGGGTCACGGCCAGGACTCTGAATTTCAAAAAGCAACCCGGGTAATGACCATAATGATGAATTTGTGGAGAACCGTGGGGAACACTGGCCTAGCTGATTCGGTTTGGTTCTCCACCATGTCAAAAAGGCTACTGCTGGAAATAAGTCAATCAGAGAAAGACATGTATCATATGACCTCACTGATATGAGGCATTCTTAATCTCAGGAAACAAACTGAGTGTTACTGGAGTGGTTGGGGGTGGGAGGGATGGGGTGGCTGGGTGATAGACATTGGGGACGGTATGTGCTATGGTGAGCGCTGTGAATTGTGCAAGACTGTTGAATCACAGATCTGTACCTCTGAAACAAATAATGCAACATATGTTAAGAAAAAAGAAAAAGAAGAAGATAGCAGGAGGGGAAGAATGAAGGGGAGTAAGTCGGAGGGGGAGACGAACCATGAGAGACGATGGACTCTGAAAAACAAACTGAGGGTTCTAGAGGGGAGGGGGGTGGGGGGATGGGTTAGCCTGGCGATGGGTATTAGGGAGGGCACGTTCTGCGTGGAGCACTGGGTGTTATGCACAAACAATGAATCATGGAACACTACATCAAGAACTAATGATGTAATGTATGGTGATTAACATAACAATAAAAAATTAAAAAAAAATTTTAGCCATGGGCGGGGAAAAAAAAAAAAAAGGCTACTGCTGCTCCATATTCTCCACGTCTATGAAGATATCAACAGACCTCTACCCCTTCTCCACAGTATTACATCTGTACATAATAGTTGGTGCAGAACACCTGAGACAGCAGGTACCAGAAAAACCATTGGCATCCTTACCTAGATAAGCAGAATTCCAATGTCTTTTTAAGTACTTCTCGGGGATCCTCCTGGCTTTCCGGCTGAGACTCATTACCTCCTACATAAAAGAAATGATCAACTCAGGAAAAATGGCTTAAAATTTACCGAGCAGATGACTCAGCACGGTGATTCTCATGTTTTCAATATACATATTAATTCATCTACACTGTGCACAGACAGTAAGAAAATCACTATTTTACCTACTAAGAAAAGGAAATCAGAGGCAAAAAACTTAAAATTCCCTCTCCCTTAAACAAAAACAGTAGTTTCAAAAATAATCTGAGGAGTAAGATTTATTACCAATGTTTAGAGGTCCTTCTTTCCCTCCCAGAAAAAAAGTTAAGTTTATTTAATACCTTGTCTCAATTCAAAAAGGACTTTCAGGTAGCCTACAAGAACACAGAATACTAAATAAGGAAAAAGATAAATAAAGGCCAGAAAGATAAAGGCTGGGGATTCTGAGCACACAGGCCATAAGGACTACGCAGTCTCTACACTGGAGCCTTATGAACTTGCTTTTAAATGTCCAGGCAGTCAAAGCTACAGGTGGAAAGTGCTGTGCCTCAGAGACCCTACGGGAGAATACCAAGTAAGCAGATAGAGGCTGGCACCAGCTTCTAGCAGAGACGTCTCCTAAGATGCCAGAGAGCACCGTGGGTGACATCTGAGCATGTGTCCCACGAGGCACTGGTCACAGACCAGACAGTGAGCTGGAGCTCAGGGTTAAGGCCCTGGCACCCCCAACACCCATACACCGTGAGAGCAGGATTTTCATACTGGAGTTTGGGGTGAGGCCCCTGCTCCCCACCCCTGGACTCTGCACACCAGGTTGAGGACCCTATTTTTAGGCAGCCAGGCTATCAAAGGCACCAAAACACGAAGAACTAACAGTTTTTCATACACTTCTACATAAATATATGCATAATCCTATATGTGGAATTTTCTAAGAAACACTTAAATTTTAAAAAGTCAAAGACCGTCAAAAAGTAAGGACAAAGTAGGGCATTTATTAACAAATAAGGACAGAGAGCGTGTGCCTGTTTCATATAGAGCTTTAACAAAATCCACCGCCAACCAGCAAAAGCAAGCAAACAATAAAACAAAGCAAAAAAAAACGCCCAACCAACCCAAAACAACAAAATAAAACCAATGGACTTCATGAGGCTAGAAATTACAAATGGCCCTTGAAACACAATCTAATGTCATTCCTTTACCCAGAAAGGCCTCTCCTGAGCACTCATTTAAATTCACATTCCACCACAGATCTCAGACGTGTACTGTCTCCTCTATGCCAGGCACTCTCGCAACACTGTTTATTCAGCCTAAAGAAGGCAAACTCTCTGCTCACAGTGAGAGAGGCAATCGACAGTTGAACAAACATTCAACATAAAGTCAGGTAGAATCAGACACAAAGGAGAATACCACAAGGCATGGGGAGAGCATGCCAGAGCTGCTCCAGACATGCCAGCCAGAGGGGTGCTGCTCCAGAGGAGGCACGGAACAGAGCCCGATGGAGGAGACAGCAGGCCTGTCAGGGATCTGGGGGGGCACACTGTCTAGCAGGGGGTGCAAGTGCACAGGGGAACACACGCAGAATGAGGCCACACTGGCAGGGAGGGTGGCTGTCACATCCAGCAGGCTGGATACAATGAGGACATGAGAATTCTAACCTAAATGTGACACGAAGCCAATTTACATCTTGGAATGATTGCTCTGCTCTGTGCTGAACAAAGACAGCGAAGGCACAAGAGGGAAGCAAAGAGCCTAGTTAGGTGCCAGTGCAACAACCAAGGATACACTAGTATTTACGACTATTCTCGGTGAAGGGTGAGACTTGAGCCAAGAACAGAGCCCAGGTCTAAGACTGACCCCTGGGCAGGCCAATCTCCGAAGGAAAACCGAGAAGACAGGGCGAGGGAGACAGGGCACCGAGTCAGCGGGAAACAGAGGGCACGGCAAGGTCAGCTGAGGGAAGACATGGGTCCCCCGCTCGGTCTGGCAGCGCCACGTCACTGGAAGCCCGGATAGAGGCAGTGCTGGCGATGAGGCGGGGGAAACAGTCCACCTGGACGGGGCTTAAGGGCGCAGGGGAGGTGAGCACAAAGAGGCAGCTGGTCCAGACGCTGCTTCTGGAGAGTTCTGGTGGGGGAAGACAGGATGTCCAAGGCAGTCTCATGTAACATGAGAGAGGACAGAACTATGTGGAAGACCCCTCACACAGCTGAGGAGGGGTCCCTGTGAACACAGGAGTAGAGGGTTCACAGACAGAGGGTGTGAGACATGCAGGTGTCAGGGTGTACTCTTCGGACAGCTGCGGTCCTCACAATTAAGACACAGGCATGAGGTCATCTGCTTCTAGGCAAGACAGAGAACAGCCAGCAGAACAGCTGGGAACGGAGGGGGAGTGCCATGAGCAAGATGGTGGAACAGGAGGTCCCCACTCATGTGCCTCGGCAACAATCCGGCATCCATCCTCAGACAAAAATGCCCAATGGGAGCTCTGGCACCCAGGGAGGAGACTGAAACCTGGCTGCAGTCCAAGGCTAAGCCAGGCCCTGCATCCAGGCAGCTGGCTGGCCAGAGGCCGCAGCTACAGACCCAGAAACGCTCTGCCCCCTAAGGACTCAGCTACAGTGCTGTGTGGCTTGGTCTGGTCCCCAGCATCATCTGCCAAGGAGGAGCCTTGCCTGCTTGAGCCCCGGGTCATAAGCGCAGACTTCAGTCCTGCCTGTGTACCCCACAGTGGCCCACGACCCAGCCCCAGCCCCTCTGGGCTGCAGTCCAGTCGACTGCATGGCCCTGGAAGTGGGCTGCCGCCACCCTCCAGCCAGTCTCTGAGCAGGTCTGCTGGCCCAGGGTCCCAATGGAAAATGCCCACAATCAGTGCCCCTAGAGACAGGCCAGCCAACCTCAGGCGGAGAGCGGGTCCTGAAGCGCACCTGTGACTTGGCCTCAGCCCCTCCCAGCTGCACCACAGTCCACAAGCAATTCTGCCCACCCGGAGACACATCCATCATCCCTGCTCCGAGTGCCCAGGTGAGATCCCCAGCCCGCTAACAAGCCCACTAAATGCAGACTCCATTGCAGACCCAGCAGCAGCCTTGTGACCCAGCTCCAACCCATTACCACTGCAAATGCAGAGGGCACGCCATCAGCCCAAACCCACAGGAGAACGTCCTTGCCTGACAAAACCGGTCTGTAAAGACAGGAAGAGGCGTTTGCTCCTTCAAATGCACAGACCTCAAAACGCAGCTACAAGAATCAAGGCATATATGACACCACCAATGGAAACTAACAAGGCTCTAGTCACTGATTCCACTGAAACCACAGATGGACAAATAACCTGACAAAGGGTTCAAAATAATCACCTTAAAGAAACTCAGTGAAATCCAAGAGAACACACAAACAACTAAATGAAATCAGGAAAACGATGCAGAAACAAAGAAAGAAGTTTAATAATGAAACAGAAACCACAGAAAACAACCAAATAGAAACCTTGGAGCTGAAGAACGCAAGGATAAACCTGAGAACTCAACACCACACTTCCACAGCAGGGTCAAACGTGCGGAGGGAAGACTCTGCAAATGCAAAGATGGGTCATGTGACAACAGCCAGCTAGAGGGACGACAAGAACCAAGAATGAAGACCAGTGGGGAAGTCTATGTGAGTAACGGGCACCATGTGCCAGTCTGCACATGAACACCAAAAATCTGAAAAAGAGATTGAGAGAACAAACCCATTCACAACTGCACTGGAAAGAACAAAATACCTACAAACGAATTCAACCAGTAAAGGGAAAGACCTGTACCCTGGGAACTATAGACACGATGAAAGAAACGGAATAAGTCACAAGTAAGTGGAAAGATAGTCCATGCTTATGGATTGCAACAGTATCATTAGAATGTCTATACTCCCAAAGCAATCTACAGATTCAATGCAATCCAACCCAAAATTCCAATGGCATTTTTCACAGAAACAGAGCAAACAATCCTAGAATTCATGAAACCACAAAGACCCCGAACAGCCAAAGCAATCTCAAGAATGAACAAAGGGGGCATAAATGCTCCCTGACTTCAAATTATATTACAAAGTAATCAAAACAGGTTGGTATGAGAATAAAAACAGACACAGATCAGTGAACAGCGTCCAGAAATAAACCCACACATAGTCAACCGATTTTCAACAAGGCTGACAAGAACACTCAATGGGGGAAAAGTGTCTTCAATGAATGGTGTTGGGAAAACTGAACGGCCACATGCAAAAGAATGAAACTGAACCTTTATCTCACATCACATACAAAAATCAACTCAAAATGGATTAAAGATGCACGTAAGACCTAAAACTGTAGAACTCCTAAAAGAAAATGTTGGGAAAAAGCTCCTCAACATTGGTCTTGGCAACAACTCTTTGGACCTGCACCAACAGCACAGGCAACAGAAGCAAAAAGCAAACCAGTGGGACGACATCGAACTGAAATCCTCTGCACAGCAAAGGAAACCAGCACCAAAATGAAAAGGCCGCCCACGGAGTGGGAGAAGATATTTACAGTTATCTATATTTATCTGGTAAGAGGGTATATCCGAAACATGTAAGAAATTCATTCACACTTAACAGCAAAACAAAACAAAACCTGATTTAAAAATGGGCAAAGGGGGTGCCTGGGTGGCCCAGTCGTTAAGCGTCTGGTCATGATCCCGGGGTCCTGGGATCGAGTCCCGCATCGGGCTCCCTGCTCCGTGGGGAGTCTGCTCCTTCCTCTCCCTTTACTCCCCCCCGACCCGCTCATACTTGCTAATAAATACATAAAATCCTCAAAAAAAAAAAAAAAAAAACTGGGCAAAGGACCTAAACACTTTTCCAAAGAAGATTTACAAATGGCTAACAGGTACATGAAAAGGTGCTCAACATCACTAACCGCTAGAGAAATGCAAATCAAAACCACAGTGAGATACCACCTCATACCCGTTAGGATGCTTATCATCAAAAAACCAAGATAACAAGTGTTGGCAAGGATGTGAAGGAAAAGGAACTGTTGGTGGGAATGCAAACTGGGGATGC